GCCGCCGCCCTGAGAGCGGGCCAGCGGAGCAGTTGAGCAGAGGAGGGCGAGTTGAGACACTGGTACTTAGCCTTCGGGTGGGCCCTCTCGTCGCCACGGCGGGACGCAGCTCAGAAAGCTAGTGCGTCTGGACCCCAGAAGTTGTCCGGGGACCGATTTTGAGCTGCCGGTGTCTCAACTCGCCTTGCTCTGATGATGCTGATGATGATGATGATGATGATGATGATGATGATGATGATGATGATGATGATGATGATGATGATGATGATGATGATGCTGCTGATGATGATGATGATGATGATGATGCAAATGATGCTGCTGATGCTGCTGATGATGCTGCTGCTGATGATGATGATTCTGATGTTGTTGATAATGATGATGATGATGAGGATGATAGCGATGACACTGATACTAATGCCGATGCTGATGCTGATTAAGATTAGGATGCTGATGCTGATGCTGCTGATGATGATGCTGATTATGCTGAAGATGCTGATGCTGATGCTGTTTCCATTGGTGGTGGTGGCGATGGATGATGCTGTTGTTGTTGTTGTTGCTGTCGTTGTGGTTGTTGTTGTTGTTGTTGTTGTTGTTGTTGTTGTTGTTGTTGTTGTTGTTGTTGTTGTTGTTGTTGTTGTTGTTGTTGTTATTGTTGTTGTTGTTGTTGTTGTTTGTTGTTGTTGTTGTTGTTGTTGTTGTTGTTGTTGATACAGGCGGGGCAAGCCCCCCCGGGGGGGGGGGGGGAGGGGGGGGGAACAACACAACACAACACAACGCACCCCTACAGGAGGATCCTGTGGGATCCGTACAGGGTTCCATAGGATTCCCACACGACCCTTACAGGGTTCCATAGGACGCCCATAAAGCCCCTACAGAGTTCCATCGGACTCCCATTCGACCCCCACAGGGTTCCATCGGAGTCCCATAGAACCCCTACAGGGTTCCATCGGACTATTTCGGCGCACCCCTCACGCGGCTCGTGGCCCTACAGGGGGCGCAGCCGAAGGCTTCGGGACCATTTCGGCGCACCCCTCACACGGTTCGTGGCCCTACAAGGTGCGCAGCCGAAGGCTTTCGCGGCCCCACATGTGGCGCACCCGAAGGCTTCGGGCCCATTTCGGCGCACCCCTCACACGGTTCGTGGCCCCACAGGGGGCGCAGCCGAAGGTTTCGGGCCCATTTCGGCGCACCCTTCACACGGTTCGTGGCCCCACACGGGGCGGTTCCTGACCGCCCTGGGGTCCGTAACGGGCCTGCAGGGGCCGCCTCCGTGGAAAAACCTATTCAGGCCGCCATGGCGCCTGAAACGGGCCTCCAGCGGGCCGCGGGCGTCGAAAAACGCATTCCCCGCCATCGTGCCTTCGCGCTCCGATCTCAATTTTTTCTGTTGTTTTTTAGCTGGGTTCGGTTTCTGACCGCCCTGGGGCTCGGAACGGGCCTCCAGGGGCCGCCTGGGTGGAAAATTGCATTCCCCGCCCTCCTGCCTTTGCTGCTGCGCTCCGCTCCCCAAGCGTGGAGGAGGAGGAAGAGGAGGCGGAGGAGGAGGGCGAGGACGAGGTTGGGGGAGGAGGAGAATTAGGAGGATGAGGAGGATGAGGATCAGGAGGAGGAAGAGAGGAGGAGGAGGAGGAGGAGGAGGAGGAGGAGGAGGAGGAGGAGGAGGAGGGGGAGGGGGAGGAGGAGGAGGGGAAGAAAAGGAAGAGGGGAACGTCGTCGACGACGACGATGATGGTGATGATGATGATGAGGATGATGGTGATGCTGATGTTGATGATGGTGATGACGACGACGATGACGATGACGGTGACGATGACGATGGCGATGGCGATGGCGATGTTGATGATGATTATGATCATGTTGACAATGATGATGTTGACGGGCACGGCGATGATGAAAATGATGATGAGGATGGTGGCCGATGGCGGACGAGGAGCCGATGAGGATGATGAGGACCATGATGATCCCTACAGGGATCCTGTAGGGCCCCTGTAGGGATCCATAGTGGTCCTCTAGGGCCCTTGTAGGGGTCTAGAGGGATCCCATAGGGCCCCTCTATTTACAAAAAGCTATCCCATGAGGTCCCTGTAGAGGTCTAGAGGCATCCTATTGGGTCCCTGTAGAGATCCAGAGGGACCCCTATAGGGTCCTTATAGGGATCTACAGCGATCCCATAATGTCCCTGAGGGGGCCCGCAGGGATCACATAGGGTCCCTGTAGGGATTTAGAGGGACCCCATGGGGACCTTGTAGGGAGCCCCAGGGATCCCATAGGGTCCTTATAGGGATCTACAGCGATCATACAAGATCCCTGTAGGGATCCAGAGATCCCATAGGGTCCCTGTATGGGCCCACAGGGATCCCACATGGTCTCTGTAGGGATCCACACGGATCCCATAGGGTCCCTGTAGGGGTCGACAGGGATCCTATACGGTCCGCGTACGGACCCACAAGGATCCCATAGGGTCCCTGTGGGGATCCACAGGGATCCTATCCATAGGGATGCTCCAGGATCCCTATAGGAATCCATAGGGATCCTCTAGGCCCGTTGTAGGGACCCATCGGCATCCTATAGGGCCCCTGTAGGGATCGGTATGGATCCTCTCGTATCCCTGCAGGGATCCATGGGGATCCTCTAGGTGCAGGGATCCATAAGGATCCTCTCGTATCCCTGTAAGGATCCATAGGGATCCTCTGGGATCCCTGTAGGGGTCCACAGGGATCCTCTAGGATCCCTGTAGGGGTCCACAGGGATCCTCTAGGATGCTTGTAGGGATCCATTGGGTCCTCCGTAGGATCCCTGTAGGGGTCCGCAGGGATCCTCCAGGATCCCTGTAGGGATCCACAGGGATCCTCTAGGATCCCTGTAGGGATCCATAGGGATCCCCTTGGATCCCTGTAGGGATCCATTGGGATCCTCCAGGATCCCTGTAGGGGTCCACAGGGATCCTCCAGGATCCCAATAGGGATCCATTGGGATCCTCCAGGATCCCTGTAGGGATCCATTGGGGTCCTCCAGGATTCTTGAAGGGATCCATACACAGATCCTCTAGGATTCTTGTAGGGATCCATACAGATCCTCTAGGATGCTTGTAGGGAGCCACAGGGATCCTCTAGGATGCTTGTAGGGATCCACAGGGATCCTCTAGGATGCTTGTAGGGATCCACAGGGATCCTCTAGGATGCTTGTAGGGATCCACAGGGATCCTCTAGGATGCTTGTAGGGATCCACAGGGATCCTCTAGGATGCTTGTAGGGATCCACAGGGATCCTCTAGGATGCTTGTAGGGATCCACAGGGATCCTCCAGGATGCTTGTAGGGATCCACAGGGATCCTCTAGGATGCTTGTAGGGATCCACAGGGATCCTCTAGGATGCTTGTAGGGATCCACAGGGATCCTCTCAGATCCCTGTAGGGTCCCTGTAGGGATCCACAGGGATTCTAGAGGGTCCCTGTAGGGATCCACAGGGATTCTAGAGGGTCCCTGTAGGGATCCACAGGGATTCTAGAGGGTCCCTGTAGGGATCCACAGGGAGTCTAGAGGGTCCCTGTAGGGATCCACAGGGATTCTATAGAGTCCCTGGAGGGATCCACAAGGATTTTATATGAGTCCCTGGAGGGATCCACAGGGATTCTATAGAGTCCCTGGAGGGATCCCCAGGGAGTCTATAGAGTCACTGGAGGGATCCACAGGGAGTCAATCGAGTCCCTAGGGGGATCCACAGGTATTCTATAGAGTCCCTGGAGGGAGTCTATAGAATCCCTGGAGGGATCCACAGGGATTCCATAGAGTCCCTGGAGGGAGTCACAGGGATTCTATAGAGTCCCTGGAGGGAGTCTATAGAGTCCCTGGAGGGATCCACAGGGATTCTATAGAGTCCCTGGAGGGAGTCTATAGAGTCCCTGGAGGGATCCACAGGGATTCTATAGAGTCCCTGGAGGGATCCACAGGGATTCTATAGAGTCCCTGAGTCCCTGGAGGGATCCACAGGGATTCTATAGAGTCCCTGGAGGGAGTCTATAGAGTCCCTGGAGGGATCCACAGGGATTCTATAGAGTCCCTGGAGGGAGTCTATAGAGTCCCTGGAGGGATCCACAGGGATTCCAGAGTCCCCTGGAGGGATCTATAGAGTCCCTGGAGGGATCCACAGGGATTCTATAGAGTCCCTGGAGGGAGTCTATAGAGTCCCTGGAGGGAGTCTATAGAGTCCCTGGAGGGAGTCTATAGAGTCCCTGGAGGGACCCACAGGGATTCTATAGAGTCCCTGGAGGGAGTCTATAGAGTCACTGGAGGGAGTCTATAGAGTCCCTGGAGGGATCCACAGGGATTCCATAGAGTCCCTGGAGGGAGTCTATAGAGTCCCTGGAGGGATCCACAGGGATTCTATAGAGTCCCTGGAGGGATCCACAGGGAGTCTATAGAGTCCTTGGAGGGATCCACAGGGAGTCAATAGAGTCCCTAGAGGGATCCACAGGGATTCTATAGGAGTCTCTGGATGGAGTCTATAGAGTCCCTGGAGGGACCCACAGGGATTCCATCGAGTCCCTGGAGGGATCCACCAGGGATTCTATAGAGTCCCTGGAGGGAGTCTATAGAGTCCCTGGAGGGATCCACAGGGATTCTATAGAGTCCCTGGAGGGAGTCTATAGAGTCCCTGGAGGGATCCACAGGAATTCTATAGAGTCCCTGGAGGGAGTCTATAGAGTCCCTGGAGGGAGTCTATAGAGTCCCTGGAGGGATCCACAGGGATTCTATAGAGTCCCTGGAGGGAGTCTATAGAGTCCCTGGAGGGAGTCTATAGAGTCCCTGGAGGGATCCACAGGGATTCTATAGAGTCCAGAATTCGTTGTGTTGTGTTGTGTTGTTCCCCCCCCCCCCCTCCGACTCACCGGGGGGGCGGGACCGGCCTCCTCCACTGGCGGACGCGGGAAGTGAAGCCCCGGACCCCGGGGGGACCATGCCGGCCTGTACCTTGTTCTTGTCGTCGCGGTTGTTGTTGTTG